CTCAGTGCACACAAACCACGGTTGCAAATCTTTTAAGCGTTCACCTGACACTCTTAATTACTAGCTACAAAGTCTGCTCTCAAAAAAGCATCAATAACATGAAAAGTCCTGTTATTATTAAGTAGACAATATCTTCCCAGGTACCCAAAGTTATAAAAATTGGTAAAACAGAAACAGCTCTTAGACTAAAATCAGTTCTTATTAGCAGTCATTCCAGGAGTCTGACGCTCTTCTCTTTGGTATGATAGTTTTGCGTAAGTTTCAGATATGTAGCGTCCTCTTGTGTTAACACTGGTCTTAGGAATGCGCACCATGAATTAGCTACAGAACTACGTTAGGTGAAAATTTCTATCTTTCACCAACTTGTGAGTTCCATACGAGCTTTCTGAAGGATGCTGACAAAAATGGGCACGTTGCTACCAGAGGGTTTCTGCCAACAATAAAATTCTTCCATATCCCATTCTGAGCATGTGATTCATGGTTACCAACCACTTATCATAAGAGCCAGAAGATACACACATTGAGAGGAAGTAGTCAAGGGAATATCAAATGGCGAGGAAGAGCAATGTGTATGTGTGTACTGGGCTGGGGGGCGGAGGTGAAAGTGACTAAGGAACACTATTAACTTACGCACCTTACTATTTAGCAGAGAATTCAGAAAGGAGGTAAGATTCCAGGGATGTTGGAGGCTGATGGTGGGAAGCAAGAGCTGACCTGAGGACAAAGACCAATGTATGCAGCTTTAGGGAAATCTTAAGGGAAGGCCTTGACACAGAAGAGCTACGATGAAACCAACTATATAAAACTGAAGAAGCCAACAGACAGAGTGCAGGGTAAGACAAAGCATGGGGACCTCACCCAGGATGAGAATTTGGAAGCTAACCTAGCGACTTACCACGATGTCAGCAGGAGGGGCTGGAGTTGTAACTGTGCAATTTCACAGCAGCAGGCTCACAAGCTACGTTTTTGTATTTACGGTCATATCTCCATGTTCTTATGTCAACCTTTCAGTACATTAACCAAAGCTTACGTTGTGGGATGCGTAGGAATCCTTACTTACAAATCTTAGAAGATGGATTCATTCAATGAACAAACTTATTGAGCATCTAAAAAATTTTTTTTTAATGTTTATTTATTTTTGAAGGAGAGAGAGACCGAGTGTGAGTGGGGGAGGGGCTGAGAGAGAGGGAGAAACAGAATCCAAAGCAGGTTCCAGGCTCTGAGCTGTCAGCACAGAGCCTGACACGGGGCTCAAATCCACAAACCGTGAGATCATGACCTGGGCTGAAGTTGGACTTATTGAGCATTTAATACGAATTAGCAACACTGTTTTGAGCGCTTAGATATAGTGAGCAGATGAAAAAACTGCAAACGCATTTGTATAAAAGAGCAAATTTCTATAGATAAAAGTGGAGTGAGAACATATGCATGATCACTTGAGAACTGAAGTGGCATATACACCCAAATATAATAATTTTTTTAAAAACACCGATTAAAAATACTGAAGCTCAGGGAGCCTGGGTGGCTCAGTTGGTTGAGCATCCGACTTCAGCTCAGGTCATGATCTCAGGGTTCGTGGGTTCGAGCCCTGCATCTGGCTTATGCCGACAGCTCAGAGCCTGGAGTCTGCTTTGGATTGATTCTGTGTCTCCCTCTCTCTCTCTCTCTCTCTGTCCCTTCCTTGTTCGTGCTCTGTCTCTGTCTCTCAAAAATGAATAAACACTAAAAAAAAAAAATACTGAAGCTCAAAATATAATTGGAGAATACTTCTAAATGACAAAAAAAAAAAAAAAAAAAAAAAAAAAAAAAAAAAAGAATTGTGGAAAAAAATCTGCTACAGATTGTGCAACAGAATTAATTAATAGAGGGTCATGACACTGCCCTCAGTGCTAGGAAGGCATTCCTGCTCTGGGAAAGAAACAATTGAGATAGCTTCTAGGACAATATCTAAGATAGAAAAAAATACATCCATATTTATAAATGAAAACTGATTCACGTATTTGTGTAACAAAAGGAAATGGCTGACTGGAGGAGGAGGTCTCGGATAGCAAGAAAAAGCATCAGCCTTGACGATCAGATCCGGGATTGCATCCCATCACCTATCACACATGCACTGTGAGACCTTCAGAGAACTATGGACCATCCCCACCTGCTTTTCCATATGCAAAATGAGACAAACACTAGGAATGTAAAAACTAAATGCCTGGATCTCCTCCTATCCATCCACCTCTTCCCAGTGCAGACCACAAAACCAAGTTACCAATGCCTGGGCTGCCATAATGGCAGCCTAACTTATTCCCACACTGACAGAGGGATCTCTTCAAAACATAGTTTGAGAAGTGACCTATCCAAACAAAGCCAACTCCTCCTCCTCATGGCTGTCAAGGCCCTGCTTTCCTAAGGTCCCACTTATGACTCTTCTGATACCTCTCTTCTGCTTGTTCAGGGCTCCCCACGCACTGGCCCTGCCAATTCTTTCCTGAAGGCCTCAGGGCCTTTGCATCTACGGTTCATTCTTTCTGGGAACACCTTCCCTTTGCATAGCCAGTATCTTTCTATCCTCTGGAGATCAGTTTTTTAAAGTTAGAAAAAATATTTTTAATGTTTATTTTTGAGAGAGAGGGAGACACAGAATCCAAAGCAGGCTCCAGGCTCTGAGCTGTCAGCACAGAGTCCGATGTGGGGCTCGAACTCACGAATAGCGAGATCATGACCTGAGCCGAAGTCGGATGCTTAACTGACTAAGGCACCGAGGCGCCCCTGGAGATCAGTTTTTTAAATGTCAGCACCTCAGAAACATCTTCTATTGAAAATAGGCCTTCATAGTCTGCTGCTTATTCCTGTCAAATCACTTATAATTTGTACTTTTTTCTCTATGTATCGCCTGTCTTGAAGCAATATGAGGATTTTAAAGAACTGTGTGGCCCTTGGACTTAGGGCTGCTGCTGGCACTGAACAGGTCATTAACAGCTCTCAACGATGTCACCTTTGTCTGTTTCCAAAGCAAAGAGATTAACACACAACTTAGCCATCTTATTTTAAACACACTAGTTTTAGGACTCCTAGTGTTTACCTATTTGTAATAAATGCCTATTTTCTGAGAAGTGATGTCTTCTCCACTAAAACTCTTTCATTGTATAGTTGGCAGCATGGTAAGAAAAAAAAAAAAGAATGCAAACAGATTCATCTAAAAAAACTAATTATGTCCTTTATTATCTGTGGCCTTGTGGAAAAAAAAAAATCACATCTTTGTCTGGTACTTCTCATATTCCTCAATCGCGGGTCTCAGAGCACCCTGCTTCCCCACCTGAATGGTGGGGGGGGGGGGGAGTGGGGGGGGGAGACAGTGGCTGTCTGAGCAGTTAAGTCTCACGTGAAATAATGTACGTGGAAATGTTTTGTTACAGCATCTCTGAGGCCAACAAACTTTCATGCCCAGCCAGAGCATACAGTACTACACATTTTAGCCTTATTTTAAATGCACGATATTCTCTGTGGTGCCTACACTGAGATTTTCTAGGCTCCCTCCCTCTTTCCCTACTTTCTTTTCCCCCCAGACAGGTAAAATCAAGAGTCAAGCATACAAAGGTCCTAAAAACTGGGCTCTCGTAAATATATGAGGACAAAAATCTTAAACCACCACGGTGCTTTCATAGAGGTAATCACAGTTCGGAGAAACTAAAATTAACAGTATCTTGGAACCAGTTCAAAATGCCAACTTACCAACAGTGCTCAGTCTAGGCCGAGCAGGTCAGACAGCTACCTGACAGCAATTAGGAGGGACGGCGACACCACTCTAGCACAAATCACAACTCCTACCACTCTACCACAAGTCACAACTCCTACCTGGCCCCTTGTCCAGCCATGGTACCCATGGGCTTCCGGGTCTAGCCTTCTAAACCTTCTAGCCTTCTCCTCGGCCTCAATGGACCAGTGGAAAAATATTACGAAGTCTCAAGTCATAAACCGAATTGATAAATCGGTAACATAGTTCCCAAATGTCCTTGACCAGGGAAATAACACCATGCCTGTGCTCCGCTAGCTTATAGGGCCACAAGTTCAGGTACTGAGTGAGGCTCTTCTGGCATCTGTGAAGCAGTTTGGCTAGCTTCCAGTTTCCCCTGCCTTTGCCAGAAAACCGCTAAACCTCCAAAAAGTGCTCCTTGAGTCGTCCGACATTCCCAGACTCCCATCTTATGGCTGGAGGAGTCCTTACTAATTTTAGAGGCAAGGATGCCTTCTGTGAGCAATTAGCTCTGCAGAGTCTCCACCCCCATCCTGCTCTGACACCCAACATCACTGACACCGAGAAAACAAATACAGCTATCAAGAAAGTCAGTAAAAAAAAAAAAAAAAAAAAAAAAAAGCAGTCAAACCAAGCCAGAAGCACTACTCTGCAACTGCAATAAATAGGCTGGAGACCCTTGCAAAGGAAATAAATGTCTATCTCGCCCCTAAAGAGTTGCGAGAGACAGTAGACTAACAGTTAAGAGAGACTCAGAGAGCGAGAAAGAGAGAGACAGAGAGACAGAGAGAGACAGAGAGACAGAGAGAGAGAGAGATACACACACTAAGAAGCAGAAAAGCAGACCAACAGAGAGTGATATCAGACAGATGGGGCTGGAGCAGGGGAAGGTGAGGAGATGGGGATCACAGGGACAGAGACGGACACAGAGAGATCTCAGGGAAGAGCAGCTCTGAAGGTGAATTTCTTCCTCTCTGGTTTTCAAGAATACGAGGTTCTGCTCAGCTTAAGAATGCATTTTAAAGCAAGCAAAATGACATTTCCAAAGTAAGTGGTTCAATGATGATTCTTAAGCCCCTCCCAGTATCTGTCTCTTAAGAACCTTAAAATCAGCAGCCTCACCCCTCCACCCCCTACTTTCCCCACAACCTTCTCAGCCTTTCTCCCAGTACAGGGAGGCTAGGGACTCAGCTACTGGGTTCACAGAGATGAAGGGGCCTGAGAGCTCTGGAACATCTGCAGTGTGGCCCCTTACCTTCAGCAGCACCACGTCCACAGTCCTGTCCACCTTGGAGATGTCACACAGGCTGTAGCGCCTCTTGTGCCGTTCATACATTTTTGTCCAAATGCAGAGGAGAGGAAACAAAATGTAGCAGACGTACCCACTGCTAACCTGGGGGACCAGTGCACTCCCCCAAGTCCAGAGTTCCAGATTTCTCACGCTGAGCTGGAGATCTGTGCCTTCCAGACTCCTCTCTCTACAAAACCCTCAAAGGGTCAAAAAATGATTAAAAAGAAACCAAGCAGAATCCAATTTCTTGAACTGAGGGAGAACTTTCTGGCAACTTCAGAGAGCTGGGATGATAAATTTATAATTCATAATATAAACAACAGCCTCCTGATGCCGTGCTTTAGGCAGATCTTGAGTGAAAGACAAGCACACACCATTCCCATCACTGGCGATCACTCCAGCAGGAAAATTAAGGATGAACCGGCTATGCATAATGGCTAACACACGTGGGGGAAAAACCCAAAGCAGGCAATAAAAATCCAGTATGTACTTTATCAGGAAAAGAGAAAGAGAAGAAAAGGTAAGACAACTCTACTTCAAAGGGATGCCATGAAAACATTCTCATTCTCTCGTTAACTTCTGTTAAGGTAAAAAAAAAAAAAAAAAAAAAAAAAAAAAAAAAAAAAGACAAGGAAAATCAATTTTTCCTTTATAGGGGGAAAAAACAAAAACAAAAGTAGACGCTTGGAGATTCTGTTCAGAGTCGAGTCTTTAGTCAGCCTGTTGCTCACCGGGCAGTAGGGCTTGGTTCTGATTTCAGCTGAGAATATCCACTGACAGCAGAGGAGAAGGAGAAGAGAAAGACCACTCCTCCTCTACTCCCTCCTCCCTTCTTGGGCGCTGGCCCTCCCCTACCCCAGCCCCCCTCTTTCCCTCACCCTCGGAACGTCACTACTTGCCCTTTCGGCTCCACAACCAGCAGCCTTGGAGGTTTGAAAACCTAATTGCAGTGGTGGGAACATGATTCATCCACAGACGAAGAAGAGAAAAACAAGGCTTCCTTTTCCAACCCACTTCCTGCTGCTCCTGTTCCCCCCCTCCTCTCCCCCTCCTCCCCACACCGTCCCCTATGAAAACGGCTCTGTCAGGCATCGCACGGTGCACCTCGAACGCTCTGATGTCCAAGCCGGAACACGATGAAGGGGGGAGGCGGCCGTCCCAAACATCACGAGCGAGTACAACACACTCCTCTATTCCACGAACGACAGCAAATTCAAACTGCCCAAGGCGTGCACCGCAGCTCCCTGCCAGATGCAAACCAGTGATTTCATGTGAGAAAAATGTCAGCCGAGGATCTCGGGCTGTGCCTCTGGGATCCAAAGTGGCTACAAAAGTGGCTGACGGGGTTTAAAAAGCAAGAGTTCAGTCTTTTGCCTTTTTGCAGGGGGGATGAGGGTGGGGAGAACGTGAGTGATGGAAGGGGCCTTAAAGAGAATTAAGGAGAGAAGGAAGGAGCAGAGTGAACAGGTACCCGTGCCAATACTTTCTCTGCATGAGGCTGTCACTTCATCTGCCTGTTTTCTTACTGAGCCACCCCCCCCCCCCGGCAACAACCGGGGTTGGGGGGACAGGCCTACACCAGAACTCGTCCTGACTTCAGACACTCTCTCATTTGGTTGGTGAATGATCTGGGAGGGAAAAAAGAAGGAAGTGAAAGAAGCAAAAAGGGGGAAAAGAGTGGGGAAAGGCAAGAATAAGAAAATCTCCTTGTAAGAGCGTTAGGCTGCCACCCTTTTCCTCCAAGGGCCAGGGAAGTCGTGGCCAGACCTGGAGAGTGTGAGTGAGGGGGTGCAGATACCACAAGAGAAAGGAAGAAAAGAGATTTAGTGCTTACGTTTCTGTCAGTATTGCAACCGGAGTTGGTGACAAGGTTTTTCAGGAGTTACAAAGGGGGTGTAGAAGGTCTGATGAGTCACCACTTCCTCGGGCCAGGCGGTCTCGTTGCTAACCAGCCCAAAGGAGGGAAACGCAGCAAACTTCACGAGAAAGCCAGTGTTTTCCTCGCCTAGGACTGCACTGCAGTCCAGCTGTGACCGACCAGAGCCCAGGTCCCCACCCCTCACGGGGTCACCCAAGGCACGCAGGTGGACGGCCGCCTCTTCCCCACAGGCCCCCAGTGAGCCCGGAGTTCTGCGATGCTACCAACAAGAACAGTGAAACAGATGTTGCTTTTCATTAGAGTAGGATGGAGAACAGTAGAAACAGGATCAGCAGAGACAGCTTAAAAAGTTCCAACTAAAGTTCCTGCTCAGACTCACCCAAAGGGCTTTCTTTACAAATATTCGGAGACTCTGGTGCAGAGCACATATCGGAAGACCCTTCGGGCTGCCACGTGTGGGAAAGCTGCTAGTGTATCACCTTTTCTGTGGGAACTTTCATCAAGCTGTAACTCTGAACTCCCCCTCCTCCCCGTCTGAACACAGGGCCGGCTCCCCTCTATCCTCAACATGGTTTATTCCTCCTGCCACTCCCTTCTGTTTTAATTAGAATCGAATGTTTCCTGCTTCCAAGGTTCCCAGGCATCTCTCAAGGGATCAGAGAGGCTTTAATCACCATATAGCCTCCTGAGTCCCAACATCGTCTAACTACTGACTGAAACGGAGATAATCTCTATTGCCTTAACGGACATTTTGTGCCTTGCAGTGAGGCAAACAAACAGCAAGGTCTCTGCCCTCAACAAGTGTATATAATTAGAGAGAAACCGGTTTCAAAATAACGTAGCTGTCTGAAATGGTGGGACCTATAGATTAAACTATTTTATTTCTGACGATCTGCTGACTTTGTGCCACAGGCTGCAAACCTAGGCTTCTTCCTACTGTGTCTGCACACAAAAGCCCCCCGCCCAAAGGTTTGGAATCTTCCTTATAGTACTCTGTTCTTTCTTGTAGAACAAATGCTCTGGGTGGGGGAAAAAAGGTCTCCTTTGCTTCCCCCTCTGGATCTGTTCAGCACTTTCCACAGAACACAGTCTGCGGTCCTGGGCTTTGGCTGCTGCTGTGACAATTCCAACTTTCTATCAAAAACATCTGGAACCACGGAGCAGTTATGCTGTTAGGATTTTGAAACACAGCAACCAAACCAATCATTTTATATTCAAACCAGAGCTGAGAGCTATGAATTTTTTTTAATGTTTCTTTATTTTTGAGAGTGAGCGAGCGAGCACACAAGAGAGCATGCGAGCATGAGCAGGGGAGGGGCAGAAAGGGAGACAGAATCGGAAGCAGGCTCCAGGTTCTAAGCTGTCTGCACAGAGCCTGATGAGGGGCTCGAGCTCATGAACCATGAGATCATGACCTAAGCCCAAGTCGGACACTTAACTGACTGAGCCACCCAGGCGCCCCAGCTACGAATTTTTGTTTTGAGAAAATTTCCCCTTTCCTTTAATTTTGGAAACTTGTAGTAAAATATGTTTATTATTTATAGCCCCTTAGGGTAGTAGTTATTTACAAGATTAATTGTATCTCCCTTGTCTCTGCATCCTCTGTCCCACTCTCTATCCACAAAAGGAGTCCCAAATTCTTCAACAGAAGCAACCACTGCTTTTACTCTGTTCATACCACAGGCCCAACATATGTTCTTCAAGATTCCAGAAGAGGAAGTAGAAAAATATTTTCTGCATTTAAATTTAACTACAGCATTTCTGTTCGTGAATTAAATTTTCTCTTGATTTATTTAATTATAAGATCTAACAACTTACCCAAATTATTTAAGCAATTCTTCTGGGGCAACGCTCTTTGGCTCCTTTTGTTTAGTTAGGGCAGAATCCAGTCTCGAGTCCCACAGTCAAGTTTCTGAATTAGGACACCACCTAGTGGGTATGCCGAAGTCCCAAAGAGAACACCGAAAGCCAGGAAGCACTGCAGGGAGGGGGCTGGGGAGAGTCCACTACTACTAAGTATTTTTCCTGTAACCCCAAAGGGAACAGCAGCAGCACGCGACTGGACGCTGGCTAAGTAACCCCCCAATGATGGATTCCGTCCCTGCAGGGAACACAAGGAACCACGGTGGAAACCAAGGGCTCCTTCTATCCTAGGTGTGCCATGGTCTCACTGAGCGACTGGCAGAATTAGCCGGACTCTCTGGGCCTAGGTTTCCAGAACTGAAAAACAACAGGGGTTGGACACTATCTGGAGTTCCTTCTTGGTCGGATATGGTCAGTCTGAGACTAAGAAATCTTTATCACCTGCCACACGGCTCATAGGATGTGGGTAGATTCAGAGGAGAAAAGGGAATTGAGAAATTCTCTCAAAATCCGTTGTAGAAAACATGTAGTGTGTTTTTGCATCATTGTATTTTCCTCCTCCACTTTCACACGAAATCAGAAGGAAAGGTCTACCACAGTTAATTTTCATTTATCTGTGATTTCATCAACTTAAAAATAGTGAGCCATCCAGAGTTACACGTCTGATGGTGGCAAAAGTGACTAGAATACAGCTAAAATACTTCACCTCCACCGGGACAATTTGAGTCTGCTTAGAATAAGAGACTGTTTCATGTATGATGGTTGCTTGACTGAGAGGAGAAAGGAGGAAATTAATTACAGTGGCTGCAAAGTCACTGTTTCCGTGTGGGACTTCCTTTTTAATTTTAACTTAGGTGTCTGAGCACTACAGGTCCAGGGAGGCCTACCATCCCTCCCCCCAACCCCTCCACCCAGGCATTTCTCTGACTTTAGAGGTTCCAAGAAGGTGAAAAAAGCACAGGGGAAGGCCTTGGCCTGGCAATCAACCAGCGATTCGATCCGATCCTCGTTAACATAATTCTCCTTAACATAGCATGGGTGGTGGCAAAGCAGCGCCTTCTTCGCTTTAACCCCTTCCTGCCTTTGCAAGAAGAAACCTGAAGACCATTTCGCCCGCAGCAGCAAATTATCTGACCATAGTAACAATGGCAAAAAGAAATTAAGACAGAGGAATATAAAACAACAATAAAGCTTTAAAAATGTCTTTTTCTTTAAAAAAATTTTTTAATTATTTTTTGTAGAGACAGCGTGAGCAGGGGAAAGGTAGAGGGACACAGAGAGAGAATCTTAAGCAGGCTCCACA